CTTAAACATAACAGATAGATCTGTTATGTTTAAGCATCTGCTCACCTTGCATCCTTCACCCACATTCTGCAACTGTTTGTTATCTGTTTTTAACCATTTTACTTGATTATTAAATTGGCAAGTTAATGTGTACTTTCCATCGATAAGCTCCATCTAAGAAATGACTATCCAGCATTCTATGTGCTATGCGGTGGAGGTTAGATAGACCTTAGGTTTAGGGTAAAAGTTCAGCACAACATCGTGGGCCGAAGGGACGGTACTGTGCTGTACTGTTCTATGTTCTATTTCATGCATTTAGGCAGACTCCAAGAAATATTTTACCTGGTGTTTCTTAAAGAGTAGAAAATGATGCACACTGTCAAGGAAGGTTTTGCATTCTCACTACAGGTTTATGAAGAAATCATGTTGACCACAGCAAAGTTGATGCCAAAACAGCAGAGTTGTTAGACAGAGAAAATGGCTGAGAAGCTAAGAGTTTCCTTTGATAAGGGTGTGGATTCGGGTAGTCTAAACTTCATCAGCACAAACCATTGCACATTAATCAGGTGTGGGATTTGTTGGTTACTCCTCATATATAATACTTCTGATTATAACAATGAAACTTTAATTTTAAATGTACCAATAGGACAAAGAAAGACCATCTTTCTGATCAGTCAGTCATTTAGATTTTTCAGTAACCCGAAAACATTACTTCCATCGTGCTCACATATTAAATTTCACACAAACACTGATGTTTTCCTTTGATCTATAATGACACATCAACCAAGATCCACTAGCTTCCTATAAAAGTGTTGCACCAATTAGTTGACTGCTTTAAAAAGTTCAAAACAACTCAACAGAAGGATTATGATTACCTTATCCAGAGTCATATCTGGCAAGTTATCAGCAAGCTCACTAGGTGAGCTGCCCTCACTTTCATGCTCGGAGATTGGATCGGATGCTTCATAACCATAAAGTGCTAGAAGTTCTTCGAAAGGCACATCACTTTCCTGTAAATGCAATTAAAATTAGCTTTCTTGCATCTTGGTTCATTGTTTTTCCTAATTCCTTTGAACATAAATAGACAACTGTTAAGAAGACATGTGGCAACAGAGTAATGAAGCTATAAAAGGCAAGACTAGATGAAATCACATTACTAGTCTCCACGAGATAATTTTGCTGAAATCACCTATGCTTAATTCAATTTTTTTGTTAATTAGTTTTTAACTCAATCTCACTTTGTTGTGTTACCATCTTTTAATTAAGAATTTAAGTTAAATATTGGTCTTTAGGTTAGTTTAAGGGTGTTTGAGTACAAGGAATAAGGTAAGGTCCTTAGCATATATTGAATATTCTTTAAACTAGAGAAAGTAAACAAATAGAGGGTAATTTATGGTTAAGGCATGGCAAGGCAGCTTGGCTCAGTGGAATGCTCCTCCTGTGCGATTTATGAAGTCTGGGGCATTTCCAGTGTCCAGGGTGACCACAAGTGCATGAACTGTCTCCAGCTGCAGCTACTGAAAATCTGCGTTTCGGATCTGGAGTAGCAGCTAATATAACAGTGGAGAATACACAAGGTTGAGGCCTACGTAGATAGCTTGTGCATTGAGGTGGCCACACCACAGGTAAAGAGTGCACAGGTTGAAAAGGAATTGGGTGACTGGCAAAGTAAAAGTACCAGGTAGATAATGCAGGAATCCCATCTTGCCAACGCCCATGTCTCAATGTTGAAGCGGGTAGTTTCTCAGCAGAATGCAACAAGAGCCAAGACTGTAGCACCAGGAGCAACTCAACAGCACAGAGGAAGAAAAATGTGGAAGAATGGTAGGACGAGGGGATTCTATCATAATGGGTGCAGACAGATTATTGGTTCCATAGTGTAGTGGTTATCACATCTGCTTCACACACAGAGGGTCCTGGGTTCAAGCCCCAGTGGAACCACTTCTCATTTAAGGCAGCACGGTGGCTCAGTGGTTGACACTGCTGCCTCACAGCACCAGGGACCCGGGTTTGATTCCACCCTTGGGTGACTGTCTGTGTGGAGTTTGCACATTTTCCCCGTGTCTGCGTGGGTTCCACCGGGTGCTCCGGTTTCCTCCCACAGTCCAAAGATGTGCGGGCTAGGTGGATTGGCCACACTAAATTGCCCATAGTGTTCAGGGATGAGTAGATTAGGTGGGTTATAGGGGGATGGGGTCTGGGTGGGATGTTCTGAGGTTCGGTGTGGACTTGTTGGGCCGAAGGGCCTGTTTCCACAGTGTAGGGGTTCTTTGATTTATGTTCTATGATCTAGATGTTTCTGACAAGTGACAACAGGATGGTATGCTGTCTTCCTCATTCCAGGGTCAGGATATCACTGAACAATTACAGAACATTCTGAAGGGGAGAGACAGCAGTCAGAGCTTGTGGTCCATATCAGTAACAAGAGAGATGAGATCCATAGGCAGAATATAGGGAGGTAGGAAGTAAATAAAAACACTGGACTTCAAATGATTGCAGTCTTAGATTACAACCAGTGACACATGCTAGTAACGTCAGGGACAGAAGAATAGCTTGGTTCAGTGAGTAGTTGGAGGGATGGTGCAAGAGTGAGGGATTTACATTCTTGAGGCCTTGGGACCAATTCTGAGGAAGTTGGGACCTGTATAGGCTGGACAGTTTGCATCCCAACAGGACCAGGACAGATATCCTCACAAGTGCATTTGCCAGTACTGTGGGAGAGATTTTAAACGAGTGGCAGGGAAAGAGAAACCTAAGCGTGCAGACACGACTGCCATGGAAATCAGAGATAGAAAAGTGAGGAAACAAGAACTAGCAGCAAATCAAATGTGTAAAAATGTCAAAAAGTTGCATCTAAATATACCAAATCTGAGTGCACAGAGCAGTAGTGATAGGTCAGATGAATTAACAATGGAAATAATTATAAACATGACAATCAGATTCTGATTTTGGAGATATGGCAGCTGGATGGCTACGAACTGAACATGCAAAAGAATTCAATCTTTGGGAAGGACAGGAGTTGAAAAATATGGTGATGTGGCATTGTTAGTGAAAGGTGAAATCAATGCAAAGAAAACATATTGGCACAGGAAACCTAGGCATAGAATCAATCCAGTTGGAGCGAAGAAACAACAAGGGGCATATGACAAAAATGGGAGTTCGCTGTAGGGCTCCAAACAGTAATGGTAAGTTAAAGGATGACATTGAACAGGAAATCAGAGATGCATGCTAAGGTGTTACAGCAATCATGGGTTACTTTAACCTACTTATAAAAGAGTGGGCAAACCACATTAGCAATAGCACTACGACAGATTAATTGATGGAATGTATACAAGATGATTCTTTTAAACCAGTGCACTGAAGAACCAACTAGATGTTACGAGACAGAAAATGCAAGCCAAACCAAATCAGCCTCACTATCACTTGAATTTAAAACATTCAAATGATCCTCAAAATTGCTCAATTGTTCCTAACCAGACATTACAAAGAACAGATCTTGGACACGAAGTTTGTAACTTAGACAAAAATTAACAATTTATTATTCAGAATGTAACTTTGGCAGAACACAGATAAACTACAGGGCACTCCAATTAATATCTACAATCTAAGCCCAACCTTCTCTGAACATGAACCCCTACTTTCATACCGACAGACAGACTTAGTTAAGAGATAAATTTTTTAAAAATCTTAAGTTGCCGGTTTGATAACCATTTCAAAAATGAATACCAGGCTATCATGAAATCTTTGCACATTGTAAGACAGGCATGAAAAACTGGAATTATAAAGCTTACTTCAGTAATGACAATCATAAGATCAGTGGACTATCACAAATACCCACTAGGTTCACTACTAAACTTTACAGAACTAAATCTGCCTAAATTGTATCTGGTCTGGCCTACACATGACTCTAGACCACTGCAATGTGGGTGATTCTTAACTCCTACCTGAAATGGCCTGGCAAAACATTCACCTATATCTCCACGGCAAAAATACTGGCACTGCCAGCCAAGCCTACATCCCATGAATAAATAAATTATTGGATGGTTCCCTTTTTAGTGCAAAAAAGACAAAAAGACAATTATTCAGAGGATACCATTGTTGTCTGCTAGCAATTAGATTGGTGACTGGCATGCTGAACATCTAGGGAATTCCTCTACCCACCATCAATTATCAATACAAACAGATTTGTTTTAAATTTCAACAAATTCCACAGTTCATTTTTGCCAAATACATCTTGCAAATACAACACAGTCATGCACAAGTGATTTGCATTGCTTGGAGGTTGGAAAATGGCAGAAAAGCAGAAACAATGGCAAAATATTGCAGCAATTTTATATGTTATACAGGTGACATTAATAAATATCTAATTACCAAACAAGACCAGATATGTAACTTATACCTAAATGACATTTGGGACTTAAAAGTCAGAAAATTCCTAAGATGAGTTTACCCTTTCCAGATCCTCAAATGATTTATCGGCCTCAGGCGTTTCCTCCTCTTCCTGAGATGGGTAATTGTGAGACAGGATATCGGCCAAATTGAATCTGTGATCTGCTGAGCCCATTGAGCCAGCTAAAAGTCAAAAGTCAAATTTAACAATTACACATTCTTTTGCACACATTAGTAGAGAGAAAAAAGAAATAAACAAGGCAACAAGATTTAGAACTGATTGATTTAGAGCAGTAATCTAAGCTCTCAGTTTTATGGGTATTCATGTAGGGTGACTCCACAATTCTCAAGAATGAAATTAGGAAATTATTAAAAAACGTAAAGATTTGATACGGAGGGGTAATTTTGCTGAACTTGAATCTCGATGCATGGGGAAATGAATGGTGTTGGAAAGTAGATTGAAAACTTTACTTTGCTGGAGTTTTCTAAACTTTCTTCTTTAGCTTGGGTCTTTTTTGCTTTAATTTTTTTTACACAAAACACTTTCGTTGTTTAATAAACTTTGCAGCTTCATGTGACTGTTTCACTGACTGACCATCCCATTAACAAAAATAAAGATGTATCAAGCCAGATTTCATCTGATTTGTCCAGTAATACCATCAGCTGGGATCATTAAAATATCTCAAGAAATAATCTACAGGTTTGGTTTCTTCTCACTTGGAGAAAGCAAGCTGAGGGATGACCCTAATAGATATTTTTAAAATTATGGAATGATTTTATAATTACAGAGAAATTATCCCTCTCATGGGAGAATAGTATAACAGGATGACAACACACGACAGTCCCCAAGAAATTCAACAGGGAATTTAAAGAATCACCTAAAGAATGGTGATAATGTGCAAGTTACTACCATAAAAAGTGCTTGGAGTGAGTCATGTCAATGCATTTCAGGGGAAGCCAGGCAAACATATGAGGAAGGAAGAAATAGAGGGTTATAATGATAGAGATGATGAAAGATGGGAGGCTTGAATACAGCATAAATGGGGGAGACAATGGCCTAGTGATATTATTGCTGGACTGTTAATCCAGAGACCCAGGTAATGTCCCAAGGATCCAGGTTTGAATCCCACCATGGCAGGTGGTGGAATTTGTATTCAATTTAAAAAAAATACTGTAATTAAGAGTCTAATAATGACCATGAATCCAGGGTTGACAGTTGGAAAAACCCATTTGGGTCATGAATGTCCTTCAGGGAAGGAAACTGCCATCCTTACCTGGTCTGCCTACATGTGACTCCCAACCGACAGCATTGTGGCTGACTCTTAATTGTCCACTGGACAATTTTGGATGCGCAATAAATACTGCCTAGCCAGTGACACCCTCATCCCGTGAATGAATTAAAATGGAAAGCATCAGCTGGTTGGGCTAAATTGCCTGTTTCTGTGCTACGTAATCCTATGTAAAATTGCAAATAAGCTTGCATATGCAATTGTACAATGAGGGCTTTAAACTAAACAATAAGGCATCAAGTTTAAGTAGATGTAGCACATCAAGGGGTAAAGTCAAAGTAGGAAGATATTCATAGAATGCTTTTGAGATAGTTTCACAGTCCACTGTGGAACCAACCAGAAAGCAGGTTATATTAACTTTGGTACTATGTACAAACCAGATTAATTAATGAGCTTAAAGCAAAGGCACCCTCGTCACAGCAACTATATTATGACTGAATTTTGTAATCAATTTGAAAGGTAGAAGAGTAGATCTAAAATTGCTATTTTAACTCAAATAAGGGTAACTACTTGGACATGAAAAATGAAATAAACTGAAGTACCATTTTGGAAAATGGATCAGTAGAAATGCAGTGGCAGATATTTAAGGGGATATTTCAGAATACTTAAGAATGGGAAATTAATAGCAGATAATAAGGAAACAGCAAGTGAAATGAACAAATACTTTGCTTGCCTTCACTACAGAGAATCTGAATTTAATGTTGTCGTTTTTACTGTTGGTTTAACATCAAAGTTATTAGGGCTAAAATTTAATTGAGCGTCAGGAGGTTCATATTAACGTTGTTTACAGTACTGCAGTACCCTATTTGACCTGATCGGCACCATTTTTGAGTACTGTTTCAGCATTCTGAATGGCCGTTTCCTTCCTCATGGCAACTCTAACCGAAGTCTTCACCACGGATCCCCTGCCCACTAAGCCACCGGATTGCCTACCACCAGAAACCATCCCCCTTGACGCGACAGAGTTGGTCTGCAGCTCAAGAGCAACCACTCCCGGCTTGCAAAGGGAGGATGTAAATGCGTGGAGATGGCTCAGAGCAGGAGGAAACTGATACATGGAATTAGTGGTTTATCTTATGAAGATAGGTTGGACACACTGGGCCCATTTCCCCTGGAGTCTTGAAGAATGATAGATGACTTGATTGAAGTGCATAAGATCCTGAATGCTCTTGACATAGTGGACATGGAGAGGATGCTTCCTTTTGCTGCGTCAGTCCAGAACTAGGGGGCACTGCTTAAAAATTAGTGGTTGCCCTTCTAGGATAGAGATGAAATTTTTTCTCCCCTCAGAGAGTTGTGTGACTTTGAAACTCTGTGTCTCAGAAAGGGCTGGAAGCAAGGTCACTTCATAATTTTCAGGAGGAGGCTGATTTATTACCTTTGTCTATCAAAAATTTACAGTTGTTGGGTTTGGATGGCAATGTGGAATTTCAAACACAGATTAGCCATGAGCATATTAAGTGTTAGAGCAGGCTCGAGGGGCCAAATAGCCTACTTTTGCTCCTAATACATATGTATGTTTATATGCCCCTCGATACTATTCTTTGCCATAATTTCTGTCACCATCTTACTCCCATAATTATTAGGCTAGATGCATCTTTCTCTGAAGGATATGATGGTGATCCTGTTAAAACTATGAAGTGTCATAATTCACTAGTTCTTACCTAGAGGAGTCACAAGTGGTGGTACGTCTATAATATGTTAGTTAAAGTACAGCATTCTAGAACTAGACGTTCTCTGTTTCAATACTCATTATACTGGGATGACTTTGACCAAAGCCAAGAACATATTTTGACTTGTGAGAATAGTGCATTGTACTTCTTTATCTTCTTCAACCTATCTCAGCACTTCATGCAATGAACTATTCCATTCTCCTTCCAAAGTGTTTTCTCCATAGTCAGATTCATGACTGTCCTGTGGTAGCTCTATTCTCACCTATTTTAGACACTGTATCTACTGCAATGGCTTCTCTTTCTCACAACCCATCACTCCCACAGATCACTGTTTTTCCTTATTTGTCTGGCACAATTCAGTCCAAGACAGTAGATTTCACAGGTGGTGTCCTCAATACCCAACTTTATTTCTCTCCTTTTCTGATGAAGGGTCTAGGCCCGAAACGTCAGCCTTTCTGCTCCTATGATGCTGCTTGGCCTGCTGTGTTCATCCAGCTCTGCACCTTGTTGTCTCGGATTCTCCAGCATCTGCAGTTCCTACTATCTCTATTTCTCTCCTGTTTCCTTTAACACACACAAATCTTTCTGCACTGCTTGTTTGCCTAATTAACATCAACTTATTTGCCCTTGTGGGAGAGTCTAGGACCATACAGCATAATCTTAGAATATGGGGTCAAACATTTAATTCTGCAATTCTGGTCTCCCTCTTATAGGAAGGATGTTGTGAAACTAGAAAAGGTTCAGAAAAAACTTATGAGAATGTTGCCAGGATTGGAGGGTTTGAGCAATAGGGAAAGGCTGTGGCTATTTTCCCCAGAGCATTGGAGGCTCACGGTTGACCTTATAAAGGCTTATAAAATCACGAAGGGCATGTATAGGGTAACTAGGCAAGATCTTTTCCCTGGGGTGGCAAGTCCAAAACTAGAGGCATAGGTTTAAAGGCGAGAGGGGAAAGATATAAAAGGGACCTAACGGGCAACATTTTCACGCAGAGGGTGATGCCTGTATGGAATGAGCTGTGAGAGGAAGTGGTGGAGGTGGGTATGATTACAACATTTAAAAGGAATCTGAATGGGTATGTGAACAGGAAGGGTTAGAGGGATATGGGCCAAATGCTGGCAAATGGGACTGGATTTGTACAAGATATCTGGTCAGCAGGGACGAGTTGGATCGAAGGGTCTGTTTCCGTACTGTACATTTCTATGACTCTATAACAGAGATAAAGAGGAATTTCTTCTCAGAGGGTTGTCAATCTGTGAAAGTCCTTATTGCAAAGGACTGCTGAGGCTGGGTCATTAAATATATTGAAGGTTGAGACAAAGTTTTAGCAGTAAGGGAAACAAAAGCCATGGGAAAAGGCTGGAAGGTGGAGCTGAGGATGATCAAATTAGCCATAATCTCATTGAACGGCAGTGGAACACAGTACAGCTGAATTAACTACTTCTGCTCTTACATCTCATGGTTCGTAAGATAACCTTATTTCAATATTTAATGGATTCCTTGCATTCTTTTCAAAAAATTATAATCAAATAACAAATATTTTTATAGCTTGGAATTTCTAATAGAAATAAGAACTAGCTTTTGTTTTGTGAGATTTATGTTTTTCCTATTACCATCAAATTGTATGTTTTTTCATTATAATAAACTTGCATGTGTTTAAAACTTAAATACTCTAATTCATTTTCTGTACTGAAATACTCCGAATCCAACTCCTAATCCCTTTTGGTGGGGGAATAGTTACTCATGAGCTTCAATGGGATCCTCATAATATTCAGGAAAATTACAAACTAGCTTAAAAACTACCTCTAGATTTCAATATGAGGAAAAGGGTAAAATTCTTGGCTTGGATTGTTCCTTTGCGTGGAGGCAGTTTAGATCCAGTGGACTCAGATTCATGACCTTATGGCTAGGTCCATCTAGCTGAAATTGAGAGGAATTCATCAGGAAGCTTAGGTGATCATGATAGCTACAGGTATGGAATTAGGATTGTAATACAGCCCTGGTGAACAACAGAGGGAACAACACAGAGGGAACAACAGGACTATCCAGAGATTTCTCTAGAATTTGGATTAAAATCTGGGTATTTAGTCTAAAATTTTGGAAATTTTTGGCTTTTGGCTGCTTAATGATTTTAAGAAGTTATAACTTCATAATAATATTCTTGCATATTGCTAAAAGGTCTCACTTTGTTGAAGTTTTTTGCCTTGCACACATCAGGACAATTCACAAGGATACCAATAAAGCAGAAAACAAATAAAATCCCAACAAGAAAGACATTTTAAAAAGTTTCAATGAAATGTTTTTCGGTAATACTCTAGTTCTATGTAATCAAATGACTAATTATATTTCTCTTCAAAATGATTATGAACTGGGGGGGGGGACAATAAACAGCAATACTGTTAATCCTCCTCTATATGCTATTTAATGTAAATGCCAGAAGTCGAATAACTTTACAAATATTTTCAGATTTCTGAATGATCTAACTCTATAATTACAAAGGACACATTCCACAGCATTGATATCATCAGAGCAGTGTGGCAGGTAGAAAAAGATTCCATTGAATAAAGTTCTGAGATCAGCAATACAGTGACTTTTACATTTTAAAAAGTATTAACTAAAATACAATAGCTGTACTTCTTGACAAACCGAATTACAACAATCCCTATTAAGTCGCAACTGTTCTTAAAAAAGTTAACATATTATACCTCCTCCAGACTGAAGCCTGTTTTCTAAGGAACATAGATCCTGTGTTCGATATAACACCACACGTGGACTCTGTCTACCAACAGAGGCCTAAAAATAATAAAAAAAAGATTAGCTTTGTCCAAAATAAAACTGTCCAGTCTTAGAAAAATTTTAGCTTAGATTTTATCATCGACATTGAAATAAGGACACAGCCGCAGCCCTCAAAGAAAGCTGCCCATAAAGATCCAGGACTCTGTTGTATGATTTTCCCATTTCCTGATGGCAGTTTAAACCTGACACCAAGATGAAGGGATGAATTGGCATGCAGCAGCAGTGATGTTATCAAGGAGGTAATCAGCTAATCACAGTGAAACACTCTCCCAAGCAGCAAGTGGAATGCATTTAACATCCTTAATATCTCATCTTAAATTCCAGATAACAGAACAACTGAATGTGAATATTTTAGCTTATACGTTAAATTAATGATAACAAATTCTACATCAATATAAAATAATTCAAAGAAATTTGACATTCTATAAAGTTCACTCCTGAAGGCCAGAAAAGGTGTTTAATAGTATGCTATTAAAAACCCAGTTACACCTCAACAAGTTGTAATT